ACAATGTTGTCAAGAAAATGTCTAATTAATTTTGAATTTTTTATCGGATTTTGACAGTTGACAGACACTTTGTTGAGTTCACTGGGGCAATTGACGTTTGTTTAATAAATCTACCTACAATATCGCTATCTCACTCTATTGAGTCAAAAAATTTAGTACCAACTGTCAAATAATAAAAAGAAGAAAAATTCCAAAGCCTACTTTGATAGTTTTTTGAATCGATTTTTTCAATCAAATCGATTTGTGTATCGACAAATTACGGTTGCTGCGTGTATAATTCAATTAGAGAATAAACGAACTGTCAAAAAAATCTAATACCAACTGTCACTTAATCAAAAAAAAAAAAAAAAATCCAAAGCCTACTTTGATGGTTTTATAAATCGATTTCTGTATCGATAAATTAGTGTCGCTACGTGTAAAATTTATTCAAATGTCAAAAAATTTAGTACCAACTGTCAAATAATAAAAAGAAGAAAAATTCCAAAGCCTACTTTGATAGTTTTTTGAATCGATTTTTTCAATCAAATCGATTTGTGTATCGACAAATTACGGTTGCTACGTGTATAATTCAATTAGAGAATAAACGAACTGTCAAAAAAATCTAATACCAACTGTCACTTAATCAAAAAAAAAAATAAAAATCCAAGGCCTACTTTGATGGTTTTATAAATCGATTTCTGTATCGATAAATTAGTGTCGCTACGTGTAAAATTTATTCAAATGTCAAAAAATTTAGTACCAACTGTCAAATAATAAAAAGAAGAAAAATTCCAAAGCCTACTTTGATAGTTTTTTGAATCGATTTTTTCAATCAAATCGATTTGTGTATCGACAAATTATGGTTGCTGCGTGTATAATTCAATTAGAGAATAAACGAACTGTCAAAAAAATCTAATACCAACTGTCACTTAATCAAAAAAAAAAATAAAAATCCAAGGCCTACTTTGATGGTTTTATAAATCGATTTCTGTATCGATAAATTAGTGTCGCTACGTGTAAAATTTATTCAAATGTCAAAAAATTTAGTACCAACTGTCAAATAATAAAAAGAAGAAAAATTCCAAAGCCTACTTTGATAGTTTTTTGAATCGATTTTTTCAATCAAATCGATTTGTGTATCGACAAATTATGGTTGCTACGTGTAAAATTCAATCAAATAAATGAACTGTCAAAAAAATCTAATACCAACTTTCATTAAATTGAAAAAAAAATAAAAATCCAAAGCCTACTTTGATGGTTTTATAAATCGATTTCTGTATCGATAAATTAGTGTCGCTACGTGTAAAATTTATTCAAATGTCAAAAAATTTAGTACCAACTGTCAAATAATAAAAAGAAGAAAAATTCCAAAGCCTACTTTGATAGTTTTTTGAATCGATTTTTTCAATCAAATCGATTTGTGTATCGACAAATTACGGTTGCTACGTGTATAATTCAATTAGAGAATAAACGAACTGTCAAAAAAATCTAATACCAACTGTCACTTAATCAAAAAAAAATAAAAATCCAAGGCCTACTTTGATGGTTTTATAAATCGATTTCTGTATCGATAAATTAGTGTCGCTACGTGTAAAATTTATTCAAATGTCAAAAAATTTAGTACCAACTGTCAAATAATAAAAAGAAGAAAAATTCCAAAGCCTACTTTGATAGTTTTTTGAATCGATTTTTTCAATCAAATCGATTTGTGTATCGACAAATTACGGTTGCTGCGTGTATAATTCAATTAGAGAATAAACGAACTGTCAAAAAAATCTAATACCAACTGTCACTTAATCAAAAAAAAAAATAAAAATCCAAGGCCTACTTTGATGGTTTTATAAATCGATTTCTGTATCGATAAATTAGTGTCGTTACTTGTAAAATTTATTCAAATGTCAAAAAATTTAGTACCAACTGTCAAATAATAAAAAGAAGAAAAATTCCAAAGCCTACTTTGATAGTTTTTTGAATCGATTTTTTCAATCAAATTAATTTGTGTATCGACAAATTATGGTTGCTGCGTGTATAATTCAATCAAATAAATGAACTGTCAAAAAAATCTTATACCAACTGTCACTTAATCAAAAAAAAAAAAAAAAATCCAAGGCCTACTTTGATGGTTTTATAAATCGATTTCTGTATCGATAAATTAGTGTCGCTACGTGTAAAATTTATTCAAATGTCAAAAAATTTAGTACCAACTGTCAAATAATAAAAAGAAGAAAAATTCCAAAGCCTACTTTGATAGTTTTTTGAATCGATTTTTTCAATCAAATCGATTTGTGTATCGACAAATTATGGTTGCTGCGTGTATAATTCAATTAGAGAATAAACGAACTGTCAAAAAAATCTAATACCAACTGTCACTTAATCAAAAAAAAAAAAAAAATTCCAAGGCCTACTTTGAGGATTTTATAAATCGATTTCTGTATCGATAAATTAGTGTCGCTATATGTTAAATTTATTCAAATGTCAAAAAATCTAGTACCAACTGTCAAATAATAAAAAGAAGAAAAATTCCAAAGCCTACTTTGATAGTTTTTTGAATCGATTTTTTCAATAAAATTAATTTGTGTATCGACAAATTATGGCTGCTGCGTGTATAATTCAATTAGAGAATAAACGAACTGTCAAAAAAATCTAATACCAACTGTCACTTAATCAAAAAAAAAAATAAAAATCCAAGGCCTACTTTGATGGTTTTATAAATCGATTTCTGTATCGATAAATTAGTGTCGCTACGTGTAAAATTTATTCAAATGTCAAAAAATTTAGTACCAACTGTCAAATAATAAAAAGAAGAAAAATTCCAAAGCCTACTTTGATAGTTTTTTGAATCGATTTTTTCAATCAAATCGATTTGTGTATCGACAAATTACGGTTGCTGCGTGTATAATTCAATTAGAGAATAAACGAACTGTCAAAAAAATCTTATACCAACTGTCACTTAATCAAAAAAAAAAAAAAAAATCCAAGGCCTACTTTGATGGTTTTATAAATCGATTTCTGTATCGATAAATTAGTGTCGCTACTTGTAAAATTTATTCAAATGTCAAAAAATTTAGTACCAACTGTCAAATAATAAAAAGAAGAAAAATTCCAAAGCCTACTTTGATAGTTTTTTGAATCGATTTTTTCAATCAAATTAATTTGTGTATCGACAAATTATGGTTGCTGCGTGTATAATTCAATCAAATAAATGAACTGTCAAAAAAATCTAATACCAACTGTCACTTAATCAAAAAAAAAAAATTCCAAGGCCTACTTTGATGGTTTTATAAATCGATTTCTGTATCGATAAATTAGTGTCGCTACGTGTAAAATTTATTCAAATGTCAAAAAATTTAGTACCAACTGTCAAATAATAAAAAGAAGAAAAATTCCAAAGCCTACTTTGATAGTTTTTTGAATCGATTTTTTCAATCAAATCGATTTGTGTATCGACAAATTACGGTTGCTGCGTGTATAATTCAATTAGAGAATAAACGAACTGTCAAAAAAATCTAATACCAACTGTCACTTAATCAAAAAAAAAAATAAAAATCCAAGGCCTACTTTGATGGTTTTATAAATCGATTTCTGTATCGATAAATTAGTGTCGCTACGTGTAAAATTTATTCAAATGTCAAAAAATTTAGTACCAACTGTCAAATAATAAAAAGAAGAAAAATTCCAAAGCCTACTTTGATAGTTTTTTGAATCGATTTTTTCAATCAAATCGATTTGTGTATCGACAAATTATGGTTGCTGCGTGTATAATTCAATTAGAGAATAAACGAACTGTCAAAAAAATCTAATACCAACTGTCACTTAATCAAAAAAAAATATAAAAATCCAAGGCCTACTTTGATGGTTTTATAAATCGATTTCTGTATCGATAAATTAGTGTCGCTACGTGTAAAATTTATTCAAATGTCAAAAAATTTAGTACCAACTGTCAAATAATAAAAAGAAGAAAAATTCCAAAATTAATGGGTTTTTGAATCGATTTTTTCAATTAAATCGACTTGTGTATCGATAAATGATGGTAGTTACGTGCATAATTTACTTAAATAAACAAACTGTCAAAAAAATCTAATACCAACTGTCACTTAATCAAAAAAAAAAAAAAAATCCAAGGCCTACTTTGATGGTTTTATAAATCGATTTCTGTATCGATAAATTAGTGTCGCTACTTGTAAAATTTATTCAAATGTCAAAAAATTTAGTACCAACTGTCAAATAATAAAAAGAAGAAAAATTCCAAAGCCTACTTTGATAGTTTTTTGAATCGATTTTTTCAATCAAATCGATTTGTGTATCGACAAATTACGGTTGCTGCGTGTATAATTCAATTAGAGAATAAACGAACTGTCAAAAAAATCTAATACCAACTGTCACTTAATCAAAAAAAAAAAAAAAATCCAAGGCCTACTTTGATGGTTTTATAAATCGATTTCTGTATCGATAAATTAGTGTCGCTACTTGTAAAATTTATTCAAATGTCAAAAAATTTAGTACCAACTGTCAAATAATAAAAAGAAGAAAAATTCCAAAGCCTACTTTGATAGTTTTTTGAATCGATTTTTTCAATCAAATCGATTTGTGTATCGACAAATTACGGTTGCTGCGTGTATAATTCAATTAGAGAATAAACGAACTGTCAAAAAAATCTAATACCAACTGTCACTTAATCAAAAAAAAAAAAAAAAATCCAAGGCCTACTTTGAGGATTTTATAAATCGATTTCTGTATCGATAAATTAGTGTCGCTATATGTTAAATTTTTTCAAATGTCAAAAAATTTAGTACCAACTGCAAAAATCGTGAAATTTTTCCAGGAAAAAGACGAAAGTGAGGAACTTATTATGGGAAAATTTCAAAATTTTCCAATGGAAAATCATTCCAGGAAAAATTCTGGAAAATTTACTTTTTTAATCAAATATATATTGTTTGAAGGGGGCCTCACTCTCCTACCCCTATATGTATGATAACAACTATGAAATTTATTGAAATAAAGAGATTTCGAGTTTTGGGATTGTGAGTTCGAGCCTCACCTAGAGCATATATTTTTTTTTTAATTAAAAAATCAATTTACAATAATTTTATCAAACCGAAAAGTTTCTTGGGACATTCGGGCAACTGACAAGCGACCTCCTCCATTTCGGTTTCCAAATTTTGACAGCGCGCCTTGCAGTGGCGCCACCTTATGGACCGGCCTTTACCGCACGTCACGCTGCACGGCGACCAATCGGTCCACTTACGCCACTGACCTAAATAATTATCATCCTAAATAGAAAACTTCATTTATATTGCTTACTCTTTTTAGTCTGAGCAGTGGTTCGTTTGTCGCGCTTCAAAGTGCTCAGAAATCTGAGCAGGACTTTTTTAATGTAGTCGAAACTTGTCCCGGCTTCTGAGTCGCTGTTGGGTTCGTGTCTGAGCAAGTTCAAGCCGGCTTTTATGTCTTGCAAAGGTTGTGGACACTCAATTGTCGTTAAACACAAAGCGACAATTAATATTGACAACTTCATTTTTGGTTGACCTTATGACAATTACCAACAGGTAATTTTAATGCGCACTGAGTGTATTTCTATTTCTTTCTTTTAACCTGTCAAAGAAACAGATGGAAATACGTTTTAATTGATTTTTTTTGACAACTATCAAACGAAATTTCCCTTAATTTTCTAATTTTTCATGACTTTTCCAGTTTTTTTTTTTTAAATTAAATGCAGAATTTTTCCTGGAATGATTTTTCACTGAAAAATTTTGAAATTTTCCTATAATGATTTCCTCATTTTCCTCTTTCTCCTGGAAAATTTTCAAATTTTTTCCTTTACCAGTTTTCCAGAAAAAAATTAAAATGTAAGAGGATGAATTTTCCTTAATTTTGCTTTAAAAAGTCAATTTTCCAGAATTTTTCCTGGAGTGATTTTTCATTGGAAAATTTTGAAATTTTCCAAACTTATAGCAAAATCTACAAACCCGTCTTGGTTTCAAGAGGCTGCGGTTTATCGTTTTCGAGAAAATACAGTTTGAAAATTTGACTAAATTTTCCATCAAATTTCAACTTTGAAGCTGTGCCCTTCGAAAACTGTCACAACGATCAACTTGATTTTAACAGGATCGGTAGTTTATTTAATTCTGTTTTAAACAAAACAAAATTGAACGAAATCGGTTGAAAAATAACGAAGTTATCGACGATTTAACAGAACTATGTCATGACGTCAAAAATTTCCAAAAGTGAACATTTTTACGTAATCGTTAGAAAAAGTTGAAATTCAAGTTTTCCACTAATTTTTACCTCCTCCATCGATTGGTGAAGTCAAAAATTCGATAAAAAAATAAACAGACACATTGACTGCGCGGGCAAAGATTCTGAGTGGAAAAAGCAAAGAGAAATGGGGGACAGGTGTCAAATGTCAGATTCAATTTTGACAGAATAAGACGTCAGCTATCGAACGCACTTTATTTCGAATTTTTCTGACATCTCCTTGTCACTTTTTTCGAGGAAAACATAGACAAAATGACACCTGTCAAATTTTTTGACAGGTGCAAACATTTTTAAATATTTTTTAAAATTTAAACCGCATAAATTATTCGAAAAGTTTGAAAAAAATAATTTGACAGGTGTCAGATGTCAAAATTTATTTTGACAGATTAGGACGTCTGCTATCGAACCCTCTTTATCCCGAATTTTTCTGACATCTCCTTGTCACTTTTTTTCGAAGAAAAATGGACAAAATGACAGCTGTAAATTTTTTTAACAGGTGCAAAAAAATTTTAAAAAATTTTTACATGTATACCGCATAAATTATTCAAAAAATTTAAAAAAAATATTTGACAGGTGTCAAATGTCAAAATTGATTTTGACTGATTAGAACATCAGCTATCGAACCCTCTTTATCCCGAATTTTTTTGACATCTCCTTGTCACTTTTTTTCGAAGATAAATGGACAAAATGACAGGTGTAAATTTTTTTAACGGGTGCAAACAAATTTAAAATTTTTTTTACATATATACCGCATAAATTATTCAAAAAGTTAAAAATAAAAAAAATTTGACAGGTGTCAAAATGTCAAATGTCAAATTTGATTTAGACAGATTAGGACGTCAACTATCGAACGCAATTTATTTCAAATTTTTCCGACATCTCCTTGTCACTTTTTTCCGAAGAAAAATGGACAAAATGACAGCTGTCAAAATTTTTGACAGGTGCCAAAAAAAATTGAAATTTTTTTACATAGATACCGCATAAAACGGGGGAGGAATGTGAAGGGACAAAAATTTCCCATCACTATCAAAATCGGGAAAAAAAAAATTGACAGGTGTCAAAATGTCAAAGTGGGGTTCGACTAAGTCAGGAATCGAACCCACTTTATCCCGAATTTTTCTGACATCTCCTTGTCACTTTTTCCGACGGTAACATAGACTAAATGACAGCTGTCAAAGTTTTTGACAGGTGCAAAAGTCTTAGAATTTTTTTTTACATATGGGTCTGTCAGCGTATCAATGTTGACAGTTACCGGCGAGGCTGCGCTCACTTTCCGGTTTCTTCTGGAGAATTTTCAAATACATATTGAAAAGTATTTGAAAATAGAAAAAAGTACTCATTAAAAGTACTTGAAAACTGAATTAAAACTGTCAAAAATAAGTACTTGAAATTTTTTTTGAAACTTCAAAATATTGAAAAGTACTTGAAAATATACTTTAAAGTTATCAAAAAGTACTTGAAACAAATCTTGAAATCTTTAAAAAATTTCAAAACTAATTTTAAATCTGTTTAAAAAATTAAGTACTTGAAATTTTTTTGATTTTTATCAGAATTTTCCAAGTTTTTGGAAATTTTTCCAAGTACTTTTCAATAATTCAAAGTTATATTTGAAGTTTCAAGTACTTTTTTGTTAACATCGCATTTTTTTCTTGAAAAAGCGTTTTTTTTTTGCCAAATTTTTCTCGAAAATTTCCAAGTTTTGAAATTTTTTCGAGTACTTTAAAATTGAACTTGAAGTTTCAAGTAGTTATGTGTTGATATTGGATTTTTAAAAAAAAAAATTGTGGGATTTTTATCGAAGTTTTCTAAGTTTTGAAAATTTTTCCAAGTACTTTTCAATAATTCAAAGTTATATTTGAAGTTTCAAGTACTTTTTTGTTAACATAGCATTTTTTTCTTGAAAAAGCGTTTTTTTTTTGCCAAATTTTTCTCGAAAATTTCCAAGTTTTGAAATTTTTTCAAGTACTTTAAAATTGAATTGGAAATTTCAAGTACTTGTTTATTAACATTGGATTTTTTTTTAAATTTTTCTTAGATTTTTATCGATGTTTTCCAAGTTTTGAAAATTTTTCCAAGTACTTTTCAACACTTTTTTAAGTTGGATTTAAAATTTCAAGTACTTCTTATTTACATCGGATTTTTTGGTAAATTTTTCTCGAAAATTTCCAAGTTTTGAAATTTTTTCAAGTACTTTAAAATTGAACTTGAAGTTTCAAGTACTTGTTTATTAACATTGAATTTATTTTTTTTAAATTTTCTTAGATGTTTATCGAAGTTTTCTAAGTTTTGAAAATTTTTCCAAGTACTTTTCAACCCTTTTTTAAGTTGGATTTAAAATTTTAAGTACTTGTTTTTAACAATTTGAAACTGCTTTTGATATTGTTTTAAAATACACTACTTTCAAAGTAATTTTCAAGTACTTTTCAATACTTTAAAGTTGAACTTGAAGTTTAATGAAAATTTTCAAGTACTTATTTTTGAATAGTGTAAAATCGCTTCAAAATCTTTTTCAAGTATTTTTTAACAACTTGGTTAAATTGGTTTTCAAGTTTTCAAATATCGTTTTAAAGTACTTCTCAGCACTTTAAAGATGAATTTGAAATTTCAAAAAAAATTTAGGTACCTATTTTTGAACAGTAAGTTTTGTTTTCAAATACTTTTCAACACTTTGATGATTATTTTTTTCTACTTTCAAGTACTTTTCAACATTTTGAATATGAAATTGAGATTTCCAAAAAAAAATTCAAGTACTTTTTTGTGAAATTTTTATAACTTTAAAGTTATTATCAAGTACTTTTCAATACTTAAAAGTGAAACTTGAAGTTTCAAAAGTTTCTCCAACTACATATTTTTGACAGTTTTAATTTAGTTTTCAAGTACTTTTAAAGAATTTGTTTAATATTTTCAAGTACTTAATTTTTTGAACAGTTTTAAAATTAGTTTCAAAACTTTAAAGTATTGAAAAGTACTTGAAAATATTGAAAAGTACTTCAAAACTAAATTAAAAACTTTTGAAACTTTGAAGTTACTTGAAAATAACTTTAAATTTGTTAAAAAGTACTTGAAACAAATTTTGAAAACTTTAAAAAATTTCAAAATAATTTTAAAACTGTTCAAAAAATTAAGAACTTTAAATTTTTTTTTTTAAATTTCAAAATATTGATAAGTACTTGAAAATAACTTTAAATTTGTTAAAAAATACTTGGAACAAATTTTGAAAACTTTACAAAATATCAAAACTAATTTTAAATTTGTTTAAAAAATCAAGTACTTGAAAATATTAAAAGTACTTGAAAACTAAATTAAAACTGTCAAAAATATGTATTTGTAGTAACTTTTGAAACTTCAAGTTTCACTTTTAAGTATTGAAAAGTACTTGATAATAACTTTAAAGTTATAAAAATTTTACAAAAAAGTACTTGAATTTTTTTTTGGAATTCTTAATTTCATATTCAAAATGTTAAAAAGTACTTGAAAGTAGAAAAAAATAATCATCAAAATGTTGAAAAGTATTTGAAAACAAAACTTAAACTGTTCAAAAATAGGTACTTAAATTTTTTTTGAAATTTCAAGTTCATCTTTATAGTGCTGAGAAGTACTTTAAAACGACATTTGAAAACTTGAAAACCAATTTGGAACTGTCAAGAATAAGTACTTGAAAATACTTTTGAAAAGTACTTGAAAATAATTTTCAAGTTGTTAAAAATACTTGAAAAAGATATTGAAAACTTAAAAAGTGATTTTACACTTTTCAAAATTAAGTACTTGAAAATTTTCATTAAACTTCAAGTTCAACTTTAAAGTATTGAAAAGTACTTGAAAATTACTTTGAACGTAGTGTATTTTAAAACAATATCAAAAGCAGTTTCAAATTGTTAAAAACAAGTACTTGAAATTTCAAATCCAACTTAAAAAAATGGGGAAAAATTCTTGAAAAAATTTTCAAAACTTAGAAAACTTCGATAAACATCTAAGAAAACTTAAAAAAAAATAAATTCAATGTTAACAAACAAGTACTTGAAAATTCAAGTTCAATTTTAAAGTACTTAAAAAAAATTCAAAACTTGGAAATTTACAAAAAAAAAATTACCAAAAAAATCCGATGTAAATAAGAAGCACTTGAAATTTTAAATCCAATAAGTACTTGAAATTTTTTTTAAAAATTTAAAATATTGAAAAATACTTGAAAATATACTTTAAAGTTAACAAAAAGTACTTGAAACAAGTTTTGAAAACTTTAAAAAATTTCAAAACTAATTTTAAAACTGTTTAAAAAATTAAGTACTTGAAAATTTTTTTGAAAGTACTTGAAAACTGAATTATATCTGTCAAAAATAAGTACTTGAAAAAATTTTTGATACTTTAAAATATTGAAAAGTAGTTGAAAATATACTTTAAAGTTATCAAAAAGTACTTGAAACAAATCTTGAAAACTTTAAAAAATTTCAAAACTAATTTTAAAACTGTTTAAAAAATTAAGTACTTGAAATTTTTTTGATTTTTATCAGAATTTTCCAAGTTTTTGGAAATTTTTCCAAGTACTTTTCAACAATTCAAAGTTATATTTGAAGTTTCAAGTACTTTTTTGTTAACATCGCATTTTTTTCTTGAACAAGCGTTTTTTTTTGTCAAATTTTTCTCGAAAATTTCCAAGTTTTGAAATTTTTTCGAGTACTTTAAAATTGA